GAAGGAAGGAAGGAAGGAAGGAAGGAAGGAAGGAAGGAAGGAAGGAAAGGAAGGAAGGAAGGAAAGGAAGGAAAGAAAAAAAGAAAAACCACACAATCAGCTTCAACTAATCATATACTGTATATGGATGGATACCAAAGTTTCATATGAAGTGTCATATACAATGCTAGCAAGCAAATAAATCTATGCAAAGAAGCGAGCTAATTAAAAACTGAAGACTCATTTGATCCTTACTCTTCCTGCACACATATTCCAGAATTATTTAGTACAGCCACAGGGATTTGAAGTACTGTAATATATACCTTAGTGCTAGAATATTATCATGGTATTAGTCTTCCGTCTGGTCTCCTTTTGGTTACAGTAAGTGGAATAAATAATGCTTGCACTACTGAATAGTTGAACGCCAGAGGCAACAGTATCCGTAATCTCCCTGTTCACATACAACAACCTTTTCAGAGTTTCTGCAACCATGTGAAAATTTCCACAAAAGGGTACTCAATGTACAAGAAAAGTGCTACAGAAGAATGGCCAGCAACACTGACAATAGCCGAATTCACAAGTCGTGTCTGTCCACATGACTGTCTGCTAAGAGAAGAATGGACTGTTTGCATGTTCAAAAGGGATTGGCTTGAATTGGCCCGGGGCTAGCAATCTTCTCATGTTAATTAAGATAATAAGGGAGGGATTATCAGAGGAGGGTGGGAACGGAAGGCACTCTCCGTCCTCCCTCCCTCCCTCCCCTTCCTTCTATCTTTCTTCCCGAGTCTGATTAGCACCCCAAAGGGAACAGGATCATTTTGCTTAAAAAAAAAAAGATGATGTAACACCCACATTTCTGTTTTGCCTCCACTTTTTATACTCTAATTCTAAGACTCATTAACTGTCCATTTTCCAAGGAATGAACAAACGTGCACACATAAACAAATAACACACACGCACACCACTTACCAGAAACTCCTGGTGGGGTTTTAATAAATTTTCCATTGAAATGAGCAATCACTGCTTCACATTTCTCTGTTGATTCCATCCTGTGTAAAAAAATATAGAAAGTGTATTACTGTATTAATGTCCATTAATACAACTAAGTCCAGAATTCCCCTGTGGTAAGATGGGTGGCCAATAAATGTTATAAACAAACAAATAATAGTTTCAGTTCTTTTCCTGTATGATTACAATCATCTGATGAAATTGTTGGTTTGATTCAGGCAGAAGGTAAAATCAAAGATTAGCACGACTGGCCAAGCGTTACATTTCTAAGCTTTCTTTCCCCTGTAAATACTGATATTTCCTCCCTTGAGCTACCTTTAATTTTCTGACAAACTGGAAGTGAATGAGAGAATGCAGAAGCCCAAGGCTCATTTTCACAGCGCCTAACCTAGTTTCCTGACACTTGAGGTAGTTAATATAGTTAGAAGGATTCAGTTTCAGGCAGCTTCCTAGGTTTTTATAACTGCACTTAACTGGATGCCTCAGCCTCACTTTCCCTCTTCTAGGAGGGGCTTTCTTTAATGAAGAACACTGAAGGTTTAATTTCCCCTATTCTGCCAGGCTATGTCCAGGGGGCTGCCCTCTCCTATTACAAGCCTGTGGAGCTTTCTTATTTATGGGTGTATGAATAGCAATAGCACTTAGACCTATATACCACTTCACAATGCTTTACAGCCCTCTCTAAGCAGTTTTACAGAATTAGCATATTGCTCCTAACGAACTGGGTCTTCATTTTACTAACTTTGGAAGGATGAAAGGATGAGTCAACTTGAAATCCTCTCAGGAGCAAACTCCTGGCTGTGGGCAGAGTTAGACTGCGATACTGCATTCTAACCATTGCGCCACCACAGTTCATGAAGCAGATTGTCCCAATCTTAAAGTTGCAAAAGACTAATTTTTGATCACACTTTTGTATGTCGGTATTGGAGCAGATTACTGAGAATATAATGAATAGTCCAGAAATCTCTAGAGGGATTGTCAGCAGGAAAAAGGAGATCCTAATCCCACGACATAGGGCTTTAGTTAACCCCATTTAGAATACTGTGCCACTTCTGGAGACCTGACTTTAAAAAAAAGATATAGATAAGTCCAGAGATGGTGGATAGTGCAAAGTCTGAGGGACAAAACGTATCAGAATACCGGAGGAACTGAATATGTACAGCCTGGGGACAGAAGTGAAATATATTAAGGGTGTAAATAAGGTTCTAGAAGGCAGTATTTTCAATATTTAGCAAAAATCAAGAACATGGGGGCACAACCTCAAACTGAGAAATTTAAAAGCAAAAATAGAATGTTATTACTTCACAGAAAGACTAGTGAAAGCTTGGAACCAATTTCCAGCAGAGGTAGTGGGTAAATCATCAGTAACTGAGTTTAAACATGCTTAGGATAAACTCATGTCTACATCCAACAAAAACAAATAAAAATAAAATGTAATAATCAAAAATAATTAATTAAAAATAAATCAAAAACAATAAACCACTCAAAGGGCAGACTTGATGGACCACCGGGTCTTTTCTTGTCATCAATTTTCTATGATTCTATAAAACAAACAAATGGATCATTATGACAAATAGATCCAAAGTTCTTGAGGTACAAATGATCAACCTAAAATGATCATATTTATTGATACATATATGATACAGTACATATTCCTAATCGGGCCTTTCAGATGTCCTAACTATGTACCCATCTCCAACATTATGGACTTTTAAAGGAGCCACATCTTCACATAATGTGTCCAAAACAACAATGGCAGGATTAAAAAAAAATCTATTAAAAATGACCAGATGAGCCTGCTCATTTGTGCCTTGATTGAGAACTCTGGATTGATTTGTTCTATGAGACATTTTAAAAGCAGCCTTATGAACTATGAGGAGTGTGAGATATTTATGATTCTTCAACAGTTGCTGAATGAAACCTTCCAGGAATAGCTGAGAAAAGGCAAGATGAGAATGTACATTGATTTGTTCTGTGATCCATTTACTTGTTCTTTTGGTTATCCATAGTACTCTTCAGACTCTTCTCCAACACAAAAAAGCATCAATACATTTCTGTTCTGCTTGTTCAAAAGTCAAATATTTGTAATACTTCTGAATTTTTTTCTACATAAAAAGCCATTTAATTGATTATAATATTCACTCACAAAAGCACACAAATGGAACTTCCTGTCAATTAACTACTTGTCTGACAGCAATCTAAACTGCTCTTATGTAAGTGATCACCTGCCTCTGAATTGCAACCCAATGAAAGTTAAATGGAACCTTACAATAGCAAATAAAAATGAAGGGAAACTTTGCTTCCTAGGAACCAAGACTTATTCATTTAGATACAAACAGTACATGATTCTATCTATCTATCTATCTATCTATCTATCTATCTATCTATCTATCTATCTATCTATCTATCTATCTATGTATAGATATAGATAGATATAGAGTTAGATATATATATATAGATACATACACACACTTCATATAAATATCTCACCCCTTTTCAGATGGTTGAATATTTTTGACCAATTGGTTGAGCCAGTACTGTTTGTTCAAATGATCATTTTTGAATCAAATTCATTTTTCTTTAGCAAAGCCAGCAATTCCAGCTCAGCATCTCTTTGCCCCTTTAATGAAGAAATGTGATGCAACTGGAATGCTCAATCCAACAGAAGAAAATGTATGTAGGTCAGGCTGGTTGTTTGCTCACAGATGTCTCATTAGCCAACTAGGAAACATCAACAGTGCACTGATAATGTTATCTAGTTGGGTAATGAGACATCTGTGAGCAAACTGCCAAGTTCAAAGAGAACCGAAGACTTCAGAAGAAACATAATTTCAAAAAATTACACGAATGGCAACCTACCTTGCAAAGCCAACTCCACGACTTGTGCCATTGGAATCACGAAGTATTCTTGTTGAGATAACTTGTCCAAAAGGTTTTAGCATGTTCTCAAGCTCTTGTTCATCCATTGAAAGTGGCAAATTTGAAATATATAAATTAGTTGGATCCTGCTCCTGTTGCTGAAAAGCAATTAAAAATATTTTATTAGTTGTTACAGTTATGAGCCATACAGAATATAAGATTATTACCAAAGTCTCCAGAATAAAGTGAATCTAATAATAATATAGGCTACAGCCAACAAACTTTTAATTCTGAAGTCATCAAACAGCAGTCTACCAAGCTTCAATGGAGATCAATGAAACTTCTCTAAAGAAATGGTTGTGTCCAAAACCTATGATTACATCTATTCATTGCTACCAGCATTCACAGCATGAAGCTCTTCCTTCTTGTGATAATGTAAGCTATTATTATCTCTACAATTACATTCAAATGAAAAAAAAATCTAATAAAAGGAGAAGCATTTGCTCCAGAATGGCATAGAAAGCAAAGATGGAAGGCTGTGTGCTGCTTAATACCCTCCCCCCAACAACACACTATTATCTCAATTATAACTAGTTGATTAGGCTGATTCACATGAAAAACAAAAGATAAAAGTTGACATGTATGCTGTTTGCCTCCTTTTTTTATATTATAAAAATGTCTTTGAAGAAGCATCCATCATAATGATGCAGAGGGTCAAAATTCATGCCTTGTGTTCAAAATCTCTATTAAGCAAGATGAAGATTCTTCTTCTCAGACACAGATGTTATTAATGGCACTGTCAACATCCCCAGGAAAAGCCACACCTGGAGTCCTTAAAATATGTGGGTAGCTGGAGGCTTAAAGGGGACACACAGATTTTCAATAAAATATTTAGATTCAAACTTATTCAAAAATATTATGCTTACATTTTCTTTTTCTTAGTTCAATCTTCTCTCCCTCCCTCCCTCCTTCGCTAATGGCAAAGAATATGTGGGATTCATTTATGAAAACTACCCTTGCCAGATTTTTTTTTAAAAAAACCTCATTTTTCTTTTGCCATCTATGCTGCAGTGCATGACTACAGAGCATTTTTAAGGCCTGGAAGGTTATAAGGGAAAAAGCACAAGAGGGAAATCAGCTTTTGCTATAAACACATAAACAAGCACACATACACACACACACACTTTCCTCTGGCTCCAGCTCTATAAAAATATTAAATCAACTAACTCACATGTAATAACAAAGCAAATCCAATTAAAAATCATAGTTTATGTGCCATAAATTCTGAATGACCATTTGCAAAAGACATAAAATATAAAAGTATTGGAGATAAAACAATGAATAAGATTACTTTGGGAAAATATTCAGATTTGAATAAGTTTTTAATCTCTGCAATCTGATGAAGGTATCCCAGTTTAGAAAAACAAGGGTTACTGCATGTTTAGGAATCTAGCAATGTTGATGCATTTGTATCTTTTAAGGTATTTTATATTAACCTTTCACTATTGATATATAATGAAGATGGTAATATGTGAAACTTTCAGTGTTTTTCTTAAAATATAAAAATAAAATACCATTACTCCAGTAATTGTAACAAGCAAAGATAATGATTTCATCATAGTCATTGCCTTTATGCACATCCTGAATTATGCTTCAAGATGCAAAATTAAACAGAATTCATTCCTGAATCACAGTGTCTTATTAAAAGCTAGCGCTCTCCCTCCCCCTCTCTCTCCCCTCCCCCAACACACAGAGCCTATTCTTTTTAGAAACATATTTTCTATGCTATGGCCTTGTAACTTAAGGGCAACTTGTATGCATAATTTCTAACTTCTGTTTATTTGAAGTGGCCTAAGAAAAATAACAGGTACAGAAAATATTACAAAGGCTTTATTGATGAGATCAAGACTTTGATATTTGTAAACAGAATCCAGGCCCAAAATTAATTATTCTGAGAAACGAACAGCAGCAACTATGGATATAATTCCCTACGTCTTGATTGGTTATCTCATGGTAAGAAGCTAGATTAGGGACATGCATTGTTCCTCTTTTCAGGTGACACCTACTTTATGGAATTACTTTTAACAATGAGCCACAGGTAAATTTATTTTTGAATATCTGACCAGATTTAGACAGTTTGTTTGTTGCTTTTTTAATTGATATACATGTCCTCAACTTACAACCATAATTGAGCCCAAAATTTATGTTGCTAAGTGAGACATTTGTTAAATGTTTTGCCCCATTTTACGACCTTTCTTGCTTCAGTTGTTAAGTGAATCACTGCAGTTGATAAATTAGTAACCAGGTTGTTAAGTGAATCTGGTTTCCCCACTGATTTTGCTTGACAGAAGGTTGCAAAAGGGGGATTACATGACTTGGGACATGGCAACAGTCATAAGTATGAACCAGTTTCTAAGTGTCTGAATTTTGATCACATAATTATGGGGATGCTGCAAAGGTTGCAACTGTGAAAAATGGTCATAAGTCACGTTTTTCAGTGCCGCTGTAACTTTGAATGGTCACTAAATGAACTGTTATAAGTCGAGGACTATCTGTATTAAAAGCAGAGGTTTAACAAGTCATTTGATCTGGTTTGCTTTTACCTTTACCAATTGTCTTCAATTCTTTCTGATTTGTTGAAAAATTACTATTATTACCTGCATTAATAACAGACATCTTGATCGTTCAAATAAGATTTGATAAGGTTACGTGCAAATATTGGTGATCACTATAATTTGGAATAATTGGCCAGACTGGCTAAAGCAGTGCAAATCTCATTTTTTTTGTTCTTATGTGTCCAGTCGAGTGCCTCAATTTAGTAGCTTGGCTATCACATTTTACTCCAGCTTCCAATCCAAGCACAAGGATGAGCTAATTTGGAGTGTATTTTGCATACTGCTACAATATTATTGCAATGGGAGAATGTTGCTTATTCACAAAATGGCTGCAATCCCCTTGGGACTACTACCCCAGTTTGTTTAGTCTGGGTACATTTCCACCAAAATTCTGTTGACTCCCACTATTTTTATTCTTTAATGATATCAAAGAAGCCTCAAAGGCAGTCATGGAGATAGATAATACCATGGTTTAATGCATTGGGCCTGCGGGATGTCAGTTCTCCACTGATTCATAACAAAAATTACAGATGGAGCTTGAAACCTAACAAGAATCAAGGGAACTATCTGTAGATACTGCCTATAATCATCACACTGCGTACCTTTAATAGATACTTAGTACACTGCTCAAAAAAATAAAGGGAACACTTAAACAACACAATGTAACTCCAAGTAAATCACACTTCTGTGAAATCAAACTGTCCACTAAGATAGCAACACTGATTGACAATCAATTTCACATGCTGTTGTGCAAATGGAATAGACAACAGGTGGAAAGCATAGGCAGTTAGTAAGACATCCCCAATAAAGGAGTGGTTCTGCAGGTGGTGACCACAGACCACTTCTCAGTTCCTATGCTTTCCGGCTGATGGTTTGGTCACTTTTGAATGCTGGCGGTGCTTTCACTCTAGTGGTAGCATGAGACGGAGTCTACAACTGACAGAAGTGGCTCAGGTAATGCAGCTCATCCAGGATGGCACATCAGTGCGAGCTGTGGTAAGAAGGTTTGCTGTGTCTGTCAGCGTAGTGTCCAGAGCATGGAAGTGCTACCAGGAGATAGGCCAGTACATCAGGAGACGTGGAGGAGGTCGTAGGAGGGCAACAACCCAGCATCAGGACCGCTACCTCCGCCTTTGTGCAAGAAGGGACAGGAGGAGCACTGCCAGAGCCCTGCAAAATGACCTCCAGCGGGCCACAAATGTGCATGTGGCTGCTCAAATGGTCAGAAACAGACTCCATGAGGGTGGCATGAGGGCCCGACGTCCACAGGTGGGGGTTGTGCTTACAGCCCAACACCATGCAGGATGTTTGGTGTTTGCCAGAGAACACCAAGATTAGCAAATTCGCCACTGGTGCCCTGTGATCTTCACAGATGAAAGCAGGTTCACACTGAGCACATGTGACAGATGTGACAGGGTCTGGAGACGCCGTGGAGAATGTTCTGCTGCCTGCAACATCCTCCAGCATGACCGGTTTGGCAGTGGGTCAGTAATGGTGTGGGGTGGCATTTCTTTAGGGGGCCGCACAGCCCTCCATGTGCTCGCCAGAGGTAGCCTGACTGCCATCATGTACCGAGATGAGATCCTCAGACCCCTTGTGAGAACATATGCTGGTGCGGTTGGCCCTGGGTTCCTCCTAATGCACGACAATGCTAGACCTCATGTGGCTGGAGTGTGTCAGCAGTTCCTGCAAGACGAAGGCATTGATGCTATGGACTGGCCCGCCCATTCCCCAGACCTGAATCCAATTGAGCACATCTGGGACATCATGTCTCGCTCCATCCACCAACGCCACCTTGCACCACAGACTGTCCAGGAGTTGGGGGATGCTTTAGTCCAGGTGTGGGAGGAGATCCCTCATGAGACCATCCGCCACCTCATCAGGAGCATGCCCAGGTATTGTAGGGAAGTCATAGAGACACGTGGAGGCCACACACACTACTGAGCCTCATTTTGACTTGTTTTAAGGACATTACATCAAAGTTGGATCAGCCTGTAGTTTTTTCCCCACTTTGAGTGTAACTCCAAATGGGTTGCTCCATGGGTTGCTAAATTTGATTTCCATTGATAATTTTTGTGTGATTTTGTTGTCAGCACATTCAACTATGTAATGAACAAAGTATTTAATAAGAATATTTCATTCATTCAGATCGAGGATGTCTTATTTTTGTGTTCCCTTTATTTTTTTGAGCAGTGTATTTACTTCATCATGACATGCAGATGGATCAGATCTAGGCAGACATATCAATACTGCGCCCTGAAGAGATATATTTTGGTAAACTGTATAAATTCATGGAATGGACTATAAAATAATATGACTACCCAAGGACCATGCCTCTGAATATCGTCTGCTATGGAAGGAGGGCCCCATTTTAGTTATGTTCTACATGTGATCTTCCCATGGATCCCTATCTGGTCACTGTGGAAGCAGAATATTTTGTGTGGATTCAACACAGATTTTCTAATCTCCATAAGCCTTTATTACTTAGCAACTTTTCAGAGCAAATAATCTGCTGTTATCAAAAAATGATTTTGTAAATGAGG